GTACAGATATACTGACTGACTGAGTGTATTACATGCCATAAAAGTGAACCCGTGCCATGGCGTAATGGGGTATTCCCGTGAAGTAGGATTTTGTTATTACAGTATAATCTCGTTCATGTTGCGTCGGTGTTGTTATACGGGATTAAAACACTGTGTGCTATAAAATTCTTAACTTGTGTTGAAATATGATCGAATTTACTGAGTTAATTTACCGAGTCTAGCTCACTGAGATTATAATGATACTGATTCATGTGTTCACTCAACGTCTACGGGGATGATACGTTCTACGTCTCGCCAAAGTTATTGATTAATCTACTAATCTACTAATATCTAACAAAGTGCTAGAGTTTTGGGTGACCTTCGTATGGTCAGTAATAAGTTGAAATAGGTCATACATGATTTGCAAATTATGTATCTTATTATTACTTGGCGTGTTGGCATGGCAGATTTAAGAAGGTAGTTGAAAAGGCCCTCCAAATGATAGTTGAGATATATTTCACATGATATGTTTCATCTTGTGATGATTAATTGTGGCAACACCAAATATATTACGTCATGAAAATGTCAAATATCACTTTAGGCTTATTTCATTTCTTTACCCCTTCAACTTTTCGTATCAACCTTGTGCCTGTTAAAATATTAACTGGCCTTTGTTCGAGATCACCAGGTCTTGGAGGTAATCACCTTATGTTTTAACAATTCTGCTTCATGGGAACTAACCGTAGTAGAATACATTCTCCAATTAACACCTGTCACAAGGGAGAGGCCAATCTCATGAACTTGTCAATATAAAATTGGTTGTGTTGTCCAAACATGTGCGGATTGAAGCAAATACTCAAATGAATTCCCTTTTTACTGAATCATAAGTGTATCTAGATTAATTTGATCATTTACATCATTATAGATCAAAAGAAATCAGCCCACAAGCTCACAGATGATTCCAGAGACAAATATATACATTTGAAAGATTCCAGTTTAGACAAGACATTAATTTCATAATAAGCCAGCCAATAGACTTTATGTTAATATCCCAGTTACAGTTATTTTGAAGGGTCAAGCCTAGATGCTTGTGATTATCTATGTCTTGAATTATCACACCGCTCATTGTAAGGTCAGGTTGGATTCTTCTGTTAAGTTTTCTACTAAACTGTAAAATAGGCTTGTCGCTGTGGTGACAATTATATACGTTTGAAAATGTTAAAACCTGCAATGAGAACACGACGCCACGCCAATAGCAACTCCGTGCTTGTTTGATAGGTATTCTTGTCGATGCATATAGAAGGGTTCCCATATTCATTCTTGTATCATAATCGAGATAAAGGGTAGGTTAGACATTTGGGTCAAGGTAAAAATCGTTTGATGTTTGATGATTTGACAACGGTGTTGTTTTAAGGGATTCTACAAGATGAAAAAACGTGTTCACTCAAGGAAAGAAATAAGACATGTATACCAGACTACCAGTATGAGATTGAATCCATGTTAGTGGGTTCACACAGTCACTTTGATTTATAAATTAGTTCACTCAATTCATAAGTTGTGAGTTATTCATTTTCTTGCAGAAACTTGCTATAAGAATTTTGGAAATGACAGTTTTCACCATTATTTCCACAAATTCAGTTATGGTAAATGCACAGTTAGACTAGAAGTTTCTTCCTACTTTTCTCGGTTGAAGATATCTATGTGTAAACGGTTACCGGTATATGTTCATTCTGAACAAGAGAGAAGGAGAGAATGGAGATTCAGTCAGAAAGACTGCAGAGCAACAGTCTCAACATTGAACGACATAATGTCTAAAATTTCTGGCCCGCATTTCACAAAAGCCTCCTAAATTTAGGAGGTTGTAGACCCTACGACCTTGTTTACGACCCTCTTCCGACCTCCTTTACGACCGTTTCACAATGACGTCATATCCATGTCGTACGACGCGGTCCTAAATCCATGTCGTACATTGTATAAGAGGTACTTTGTTGCATAGCAACGCATAAAGCGAGACCGAACGGGCACCTGCTTATCTTGTTATTCCCAAAGTATTTCAAAAAACAGTTTGAATAACAATGCAAATGTTATGTTTTTAATTCAATGTACAGGTTATCTTATGGTAAAAAAATATCAATAAATGAATAATTTTGGATTCTCTCACTAAATTTCATTGAAAATTACAAGATAAAATGTATAAATCATTTCCATTAATATTATCAGTTAACTTATAAGGTTTGAATTAAATCGCTGTCCATTAACTTGTTCATATGAAACTGCAATATTAGTCCCAATGTTTTGAATATTGCACACTATAGGACCTAAAGTCAATGTTGCAGTTATGGCTACGCTTGATCTACTAACACTTGTGTAACGGTTTAAAATGTGGTGTGATACTCTAAATGTGTCAATTTCTTTTGTAACTTTTATTCAAACAATCAAAAACTTTCAAAGAATAAAAACGTATACCCTGTATCCACGTATGATATGATATTGAACAAGGCTAAATGTAGGTAGCATCTACTGAAATTGGTTTCATGAAAAAAATATCTGAATGATACGCAAAACATACATCATAGTACTGAAAGTGTAATCAGAAGGATAGGACGATTGTGTTTACTTTTTTTTCATCCGACCTTCACCTCAAAGATATTATACAATTATAGACTCTTGTAGAGGTCGATATCGGTTTTTATTGACCTGAGTAACAGTCTATAATTGTTTTATTATTTAATGAAAGAGAAACGGGTTTTAACATAAACTTTTAATGCACACACTGTGCCATCTATCCGAGTGATCTGATTGACTGAAAAGCTGGGGAAGCCCCTTCGTACGGGATTCCTTGTCTATTTTTAGTAACCCAAGTCAATATCGTAATTTATCAGAAAACTCAAGTCAATATCGTGTTTTGTGTAGTGTTTTACCTGATCAATCTCATTCCGTTTTGGGTTATATGGTTTTGTGTCAACCCGATTTGCATACAACTGGACATGCGCAGTCTGTACAGAAAACTGGGTTTGAAAATAAAACGTCTACATGTGATGTGGAGAGCAACAAGCAACCAGTCTTGTGTTTTGAATGGTTCATTGGAGGTTAGCTTAAATGCGAACGGGACACAGACAATTGCCCACAGTACAATTGGCGACGAGGTGAATCGACTACATGATGTCTTCTGTCAAATTGACCGACATTGCTGGGGTTCCAGTTTTCCACTGTTCCGAGACAGCCAGTCTCGCGCCTTCGAAAAATGGCGGAGATGGTTGCGTGCCTTCGAACTTTATTCAGATGGAAAGGGGGTCAAGAATGCAGAGCAGAAAAAGGCACTGTTACTTCATACGGCTGGAATGGAAGTGCAAGACATATTCTACACGCTAGTACCGACAGGTGAGGGTGACGCTTACGAGAAAACGAAGTATGCACTAAATGAATATTTCCAACCACGTGTGAATGTGCCATATGAGCGGCATGTTTTTCGTGCCATGGGTCAGACGGATGAGACTGTTTCTCAATTCATAACTCGTCTGCGACAGCAAGCTGACAATTGTGAATTCGGGAATATAGGAGCTGTTGACGAACGAATTCGAGACCAGGTCATTGAAAAGTGTTCCTCTCACAGGTTGAGGATGAAGTTACTGGAAAAAGGGGGTGACTTAACACTGGACATTTTGGTGTCGACTGCGAGAGCACTGGAGGAATCTGAACTGCAAGCAAAAACTATTGAAGGTCCAAGTGTCGTGAATGCTATGAGGAGTTCCAAACAGTTTGACGGGAGAAAGTCTGGGAAGAAGGGAAACTTTAATGTGAAGAAAAACAGGAGTGACATAACTTGTTACAGATGTGGTAACAAGGGACACTGGTCTAAAGATGAGAGTTGTCCTGCACTCAAGAGGATGTGTAATCGATGCAAGTTTGTAGGACATTATGAGAAAATGTGCAAGACGAAATTACAAACAGGGAGAAAGAGAACAGAACATGGCAAAGTAAGACAAGTAAGAGATGAGACACCCAAGGATGAAGATTCTAAAGACAAAGATTTTGTATTTGGCATTGATACTCGTGCTAAGGAAATGCATGATGGAACAGTTACATTCACTGTGGGGGGAGTATCTTTGAGTATGTTGATCGACAGTGGGTCGACATGCAACATTGTGGGACAGAAAACATGGAACATTTTGAAGAATGAGAATATCAAGTGCACATCGGAGAGGACTACGCGGGATATTTATCCATATGGGGTAAAAGAACCGTTGCCAGTGTTAGGTATGTTTACCACTGACATTTCAGTAGGTGAAACAACAGTCGACCAAGCTGAATTTATCGTTGTGAAACATGACGGACCTCCTCTCCTGGGAAGGAATTTATCTCAAGAACTAGGAGTTTTGGCTCTTGGACAAAACGTTAACAAGCTAGAATCTCCACGAGACTTTGTAAAAGACTTTCCGGACCTGTTTACTGGATTTGGAAAGCTCAAGAATTATCAAATGACAATTCCTATTGATGAGACTGTGGAACCAGTTGTACAGCCACTACGTAGAGTTCCGTATCATCTCTAGGGCAAACTGGAAGAAAAGTTAACGGAATTGGAAGAACTTGACATCATAGAGAAGGTTACAGGACCAAGTGATTGGGTGTCACCAATAGTCATTGTACCTAAACCTGGAGGTAAAGACATTCGTGTCTGCGTGGATATGAGAACAGCAAACGATGCAGTGAGACGTGTAAGACATCAAATGCCTACTATTGATGATGTGTTACAAGATCTCAACCAAAGTGCAGTGTTCAGTAAACTTGATGTAAAATGGGCGTATCATCAGATTGAACTTTCTAAAGAATCTCGTCACATTACAACATTCAGCACTCACAAAGGTCTTTACAGGTACAAAAGACTGATGTTTGGTATTTGTTGTGCTCCTGAAATGTATCAAAAGACTCTCCAGCAAGTATTACAGGGATGTGAAGGTGTGAGTAACATTATGGATGACATTATCGTTCACGGTGCTACTACTGAAGAGCATGACAGGAGAATGGCGAATGTCCTGTCTGTGCTGCAAGAAAAAGGACCGACACTGAATGCTGGAAAGTGTCAATTTAGAATGGAAAATCTACAATTTCTTGGACATGTCTTATCCGAGAAGGGAGTGAGTCCAGCAGAAGATAAAGTCAGAGCAGTTCTCGAGGCTAGAGAACCAAGCAACACAAAAGAAATCAGGAGCTTCTTGGGGCTAGTCAACTTCAATGGGAGGTACATAGAAAACCTTTCGACAGTGTCAGAACCTTTAAGACGTCTGACAAGAAGCAATGTGAAGTTTGTTTGGGGACCTGAACAACAGGCTTCTTTCAATCAGCTGAAGAAATGTTTGACTAGTGCCAACGTACTGGGATACTTTGATAAGAACGCACCAACACAAGTGATTGCAGACGCAAGTCCTGTTGGAATCGGGGCTGTACTAGTTCAAGAACAACGAGGTGTGCATAGAGTCATATCTTATGCAAGCAAGAGTTTATCAGACATTGAGAGACGGTATTCTCAAACCGAGAAGGAGGCATTGGCTCTTGTGTGGGCATGTGAACGCTTTCACCAATACTTATATGGTGCACCATTCGAGTTGTTGACGGATCATCGACCGCTGCAATTCATATATGCAAAAAGAGGGAAACCTTGTGCCCGAGTGGAACGATGGGTGTTGAGACTACAAGGATATGATTATACCGTGAAATATATCCAAGGTCACAATAACATTGCTGATTGTCTGTCGAGACTGTGAGGAGCAACAGAGAAAGTGAGCACAACCGCATCACAGGAAGCTGACCTGTATGTACGGTTCGTGACAATTGAATCTACACCTGTGGCATTGACGACGCAAACCATAGAGAGATCATCAGATGAGGATGAAGAATTGTGTGATGTGAGAGGGTGTTTGTTGTCAGGGAAATGGTATACAGTGGGCAACACAAAGTATGTACCAGTGAGAAATGAACTGTCTGCTATTGGTAAAATTGTGTTGCGTGGTACCAGAATATTGATTCCCAAGCTGTTGAGAGAGAATGTGCTTCAATTGGCTCATGAAGGTCATCCGGGTATTGTACGGATGAAACAGCGTTTACGTAGCAAAGTATGGTGGCCGGGAATAGATGCCGATGCTGAGAAATTCTGCAGATCGTGTCATGGATGTCAAGTGGTGGCTTTGCCAAAGTCTCCTCCGCCTATGTGCCGTACACCATTGCCAACATCCCCATGGCAACATCTCGCTGCGGACCTGATGGGACCACTACCTACAGGAGAACACGTATTTGTGGTAGTCGACTATTATAGTCGTTACTTCGAACTTGATGTGATCAAGAACACCACTGCAGAATCTATTGTAGACTATTTGACAAGAATTTTCACAACTCATGGACTTCCCCTCAGTTTGAAAACAGATAATGGTCCACAATTTACAAGCAAGAACTTTAAAGAGTATCTGCGCCACAATGGCGTAGAACATAAAACAAGCACTCCATATTGGCCTCAAGCCAATGGCGAGGTTGAAAGGCAGAATCAGACGATACTGAAAAGGATCAAGATTGCCCAGGTGGAGGGAAAGGACTGGAAAACAGAATTAATTCCATTCCTCATTATGTATCGGACAACCCCTCAAGCAACAACAGGAAAGTCGCCCAGTGAGTTGTTGTTCAGACGAACAGTGCGAACGAAACTGCCAGAAATCGAAAACATCAATGTGGATGGTGAAGTGCGTGACCATGATAATGAACTGAAATACAAAGGGAAAGTCTACAGTGACAGAAGAAGGCATGCGACACAGTCAACGATTGAGTGTGGTGAAAAAGTTCTGGTGAAGAAACAAGTACATGACAATAAACTTTCTACAAGTTTTCACAAGGAACCATTTACTGTTGTCAACAGGTATGGCAATACAGTAGAAGTGGGAACTGAAAGTGGTCCGGTATACAGAAGAAATGTGACACATGTAAAGAAATATAATGCAAGAAGTTCTAATGGTGAGAAGGACATTTCCATTGTGCAGCCTGACAACACTGTACCAACTGACCTTCCTAGTGCAAGGCCACTGCGTTTCAAGTCTGTGCCGACCAGGTACAAGGATTTTGTACTTGGATATCTGAACTGTTGAATTATGTTTCAAAGAATTTTGGACACTAATATATTCAAAGGACTAATTAGTTTTGGGTAGTTTGAAAAGACAGTTTTGTGTTTTTCATTATTTGAATTACTTTTGAACAAGAATGTATTTTAGAAATATCATTCTATCAGCTGAGTGTTGTAGTATTTTCTAAACACCATTGACTGGTTTCTTGATGTATTTCAAAAAGGTGATTGAAATATTTGATTTGTGGGATTATAAAGAGTGTTAAATGTATTATAAAAAGTGTTAAATGTACGTACTATAACAAACACTTTAGATAAACTTACTTTACTTCAGATTGTTTCGAGATACAGGTAATATCAATATGTTTCAATACATTTCTGGATGGACAATTATTTGTGAGAACAAATTGTTAAAGTAACATAGTTCTGGTAACAGTTGGTTGTTTTGTTTGTTTAAGACAAGTTATTAATTGGTATTATAATTTGGAAACTTGTTGCCATATCCATAAAATGTTCAGGAATAGTATGCAAGGTAAAATCTTGAGATAGATCATAGGTTTATTCTATTTAAGGTAAAAAGGGATGTAGTGTTTTACCTGATCAATCTCATTCCGTTTTGGGTTATATGGTTTTGTGTCAACCCGATTTGCATACAACTGGACATGCGCAGTCTGTACAGAAAACTGGGTTTGAAAATAAAACGTCTACATGTGATGTGGAGAGCAACAAGCAACCAGTCTTGTGTTTTGAATGGTTCATTGGAGGTTAGCTTAAATGCGAACGGGACACAGACAATTGCCCACAGTACATTTTGTAGTCAATCATGTGACGGTATTTTGACCAATCGTGGTACAGGAAAAATACTACCTATATAATAATGCCTAATATGTAGTACTACAACAATGTTGACGTGTGACATCACAACCGATGACCGATTTCTTACAAAATGGCGGCTTCGCTGACAAGGGTACACAGGATTATGCGAGACTCTTCCCTTACTTCAGGGATCGTTTGTACATAAATATGAAATGTAAGTAATCAGAGTGAGTCTGACTATGCCCGATATATTTAGAATTTTATTGGACTTCAAAGTGAGGGTTGAAGAGGAAGGACATATGTCCCTGTGGCACCCAGGGTTTTTTAATCAAGTCCAGATATTTTATGAATTAGAAAAACTAGATAAAGGTTCCTAAAACGAAACTGTAAAATATTACATCATTTCGCCAGCTACATCGAAGAACAGAAGTCATTTTGTGATTAGCATGTGGAACCGCTATAGTCCGTATCAAATACGGCCAACCGATTCTGATTCTTGGTTTGGTGGAGCATGATAGTATGGTTTCACACGGCCAAAACTGGGAACCCAAACGAATAACTGACTGTATATATTTTCAATATATAATTTGACAAAAATCTAATCCGAACTTATATATTTTCATGGTATAAATATGTAAAATATATTTTGAATATAATCACAGACTCGTGTCGTTGTCATGTAATTTCCATTGACTAATTAATAAAACAATTTTCATGTCCATGTCTGTGATGTGGTTGGTGATTCAGGAATGGTAGTTAATTCATCACATGAACCAGGACTAGCAGGATCTGTCATTTCTTTCAGGAGCATTGCTGGAAAATCAAAAACAGATAATTAGGTCTCCATTAGGACATCTAAAAGTGAAACCTTATTCTAATTTTACAGTTATTTTAAATATTAAAAATTAAAATTAGCCTCATAAAAATGATTTATTATCAGTTAGGATATCCAGTTCTTTATACATGATAAAAATATATTACATATCATCTTAGTAAAAAACCCGAAAAATAACAAAATTAATTTTGAAAAGACAGTAGTGCAGTATAGCAATCAATATATAGACCTACAGAAACATTCACTTGATATATTTTCCATAGACTTACATGTTAATTTAGTGAAGCAGAAATAATTTTCATTCAGGTGATTTCACATTTGACTATGATCGAATTACTTTCGATCATAGTCAAATGAAATCACCTGAATGAAAATTATTTCTGCTTCACTAAATTATCATGTAAATAACATGAAATTGTTGAATGAACTTTTTCGTATTGTCAATTGAAGTACATGTGGAAATAAGTTTCGAAACTTTCATGAAAAAACAATTAATAAGCACATGCGTGAAATTCATGGCGAGAAAAAACACCAGTGCGTGTTATGTCCTTATGCCACAAACAGAAAGGCCGACTTGATGAGGCATGGTGTGATGCACAAACCCACCAAGATTGAAATCTGTTCTTCATGTGGGAAGGACTTTAAGTGGGAGACCTCCAGAAGGAGGCATGAGGAGGTCTGCAAAGGACCAAAGGAGGACGAAGATTTTGATATTGTTGAAATAGACCCAGACCTCTTAATCCATTGCAGTGCAGCAAAAAAATAGGATATTTAAACATTTTCTCTGTGATCATCCAGAGAGAGACTGTGATGTGTAAATATGTTTCTGTGATCATCCAGAGAGAGACTGTGATGTGTAAATATGTTTCTGTGATCATCCAGAGAGACTGTGAGATGATGTTTCTGTGATCCAGAGAGAGAGACTGTGATGTGTAAATATGTTTCTGTGATCATCCAGAGAGAGACTGTGATGTGTAAATATGTTTCTGTGATCATCCAGAGAGAGACTGTGATGTGTAAATATGTTTCTGTGATCATCCAGAGAGAGACTGTGATGTGTAAATATGTTTCTGTGATCATCCAGAGAGAGACTGTGATGTGTAAATATGTTTCTGTGATCATCCAGAGAGAGACTGTGATAAATATGTTTCTGTGATCATCCAGAGAGAGACTGTGATGTGTAAATATGTTTCTGTGATCATCCAGAGAGAGACTGTGATGTGTAAATATGTTTCTGTGATCATCCAGAGAGAGACTGTGATGTGTAAATATGTTTCTGTGATCATCCAGAGAGAGACTGTGATGTGTAAATATGTTTCTGTGATCATCCAGAGAGAGACTGTGATGTGTAAATATGTTTCTGTGATCATCCAGAGAGAGACTGTGATGTGTAAATATGTTTCTGTGATCATCCAGAGAGAGACTGTGATGTGTAAATATGTTTCTGTGATCATCCAGAGAGAGAGACTGTGATGTGTAAATATGTTTCTGTGATCATCCAGAGAGAGACTGTGATGTGTAAATATGTTTCTGTGATCATCCAGAGAGAGAGACTGTGATGTGTAAATATGTTTCTGTGATCATCCAGAGAGAGACTGTGATGTGTAAATATGTTTCTGTGATCATCCAGAGAGACTGTGATGTGTAAATATGTTTCTGTGATCATCCAGAGAGAGACTGTGATGTGTAAATATGTTTCTGTGATCATCCAGAGAGAGACTGTGATGTGTAAATATGTTTCTGTGATCATCCAGAGAGAGACTGTGATGTGTAAATATGTTTCTGTGATCATCCAGAGAGAGACTGTGATGTGTAAATATGTTTCTGTGATCATCCAGAGAGAGACTGTGATGTGTAAATATGTTTCTGTGATCATCCAGAGAGAGAGACTGTGATGTGTAAATATGTTTCTGTGATCATCCAGAGAGAGACTGTGATGTGTAAATATGTTTCTGTGATCATCCAGAGAGAGACTGTGATGTGTAAATATGTTTCTGTGATCATCCAGAGAGACTGTGATGTGTAAATATGTTTCTGTGATCATCCAGAGAGAGACTGTGATGTGTAAATATGTTTCTGTGATCATCCAGAGAGAGACTGTGATGTGTAAATATGTTTCTGTGATCATCCAGAGAGAGAGACTGTGATGTGTAAATATGTTTCTGTGATCATCCAGAGAGAGACTGTGATGTGTAAATATGTTTCTGTGATCATCCAGAGAGAGACTGTGATGTGTAAATATGTTTCTGTGATCATCCAGAGAGAGACTGTGATGTGTAAATATGTGATTTGTAAATATGTGTGATCATCCAGAGAGAGACTGTGATGTGTAAATATGTTTCTGTGATCATCCGGAGAGAGAGACTGTGATGTGTAAATATGTTTCTGTGATCATCCAGAGAGACTGTGATGTGTAAATATGTTTCTGTGATCATCCAGAGAGAGACTGTGATGTGTAAATATGTTTCTGTGATCATCCAGAGAGAGACTGTGATGTGTAAATATGTTTCTGTGATCATCCAGAGAGACTGTGATGTGTAAATATGTTTCTGTGATCATCCAACGAGACACTGTGATGTGTAAATATGTTTCTGTGATCATCCAGAGAGAGACTGTGATGTGTAAATATGTTTCTGTGATCATCCAGAGAGAGACTGTGATGTGATATGTTTCTGTGATCATCCAGAGAGAGACTGTGATGTGTAAATATGTTTCTGTGATCATCCAGAGAGAGACTGTGATGTGTAAATATGTTTCTGTGATCATCCAGAGAGAGACTGTGATGTGTAAATATGTTTCTGTGATCATCCAGAGAGAGACTGTGATGTGTAAATATGTTTCTGTGATCATCCAGAGAGAGACTGTGATGTGTAAATATGTTTCTGTGATCATCCAGAGAGAGACTGTGATGTGTAAATATGTTTCTGTGATCATCCAGAGAGAGACTGTGATGTGTAAATATGTTTCTGTGATCATCCAGAGAGAGACTGTGATGTGTAAATATGTTTCTGTGATCATCCAGAGAGAGACTGTGATGTGTAAATATGTTTCTGTGATCATCCAGAGAGAGACTGTGATGTGTAAATATGTTTCTGTGATCATCCAGAGAGAGAGACTGTGATGTGTAAATATGTTTCTGTGATCATCCAGAGAGAGACTGTGATGTGTAAATATGTTTCTGTGATCATCCAGAGAGAGACTGTGATGTGTAAATATGTTTCTGTGATCATCCAGAGAGAGACTGTGATGTGTAAATATGTTTCTGTGATCATCATCCAGAGAGACTGTGATGTGTAAATATGTTTCTGTGATCATCCAGAGAGAGACTGTGATGTGTAAATATGTTTCTGTGATCATCCAGAGAGAGACTGTGA